TCGGAGAAGGACGACGACGACACCGGAAGCACGGCCGAAACCCAGACCAACTCCACCACCTCGTCGCTCCACTGCGCGTCGGCCACCGACTTGCTGGCGCCGTTCAGACTTTTCCCAACCGGGTCGGGACTGATATACACGGGTGGTGGCGTGATAAGGGTTCCTGCCCATCGGCCACCCGGCGCTAATGGAGCGGCGACCGGCGCCCTGCCGGCACAGGCGTTGATACCACCCTGGAGTTTGCAAGCCCTTCAACACAGTCAACAGCAGGCTGCGGCGGCCGGTCTTCACAGGGCGAGCTTGTTGGCCAACTTGGCCGCGCATCCGCTCCAGGGACACCCGCACCTCAAGGACAGGCTGGCAGGTAAGGAACGGTTCCACGTTCTTCGCGTTCTTCGATGGGACGTTTCAGCTCTCTTACGTCTTAAAATGTCTGACGCTGAAAAGAAAGTAATTTTAATTTGGTTACCTACTACTTAGCATCTGCCACGAATATTAACCAGTATTCGAAGTCGGTTAATTTCGCTTTCCTCCTTTCGATCTTGATACGTTATTATTATGGTTCGCTTTAATGCGAATTTTAAACGATGGCAACAACTTTGACGATTCTTCATCGCGATCGAGGCGAGACGTTAATAATCCGGAGAAACGAGCGAAAACTTGCACGTAAATTCAATTGATACGTTCCATGCGTTAATTTCCTCGATTTCGATCGAGACGCGGAAACTTTCAGCCAATAATTACGATGCAATATGCGATCGAAGGTAAACTCGATTCTTTCCGATACATTATCTCACACGGTTGATAATATTTTCGAAACGATCTAAAAATAACGCCAAATCTTCCGACCAAATCTCGTCTCTTTTTCTCGAATAATACGTCGAATAAATCTAAATATTTTTTCTTGAAACGGCTTCCAAATACTTTTATTCCATTTCCTTATCTTCGAAATTAATTCAATTTCGTAATCAACGACACGGGATCGTGGTTCGTTAGGCATTCGCGTAAACGACGAGCGAATAGCCGTATCGAGTTGCCGTATCTCTTTCTCCCTCCTCCCTCCCCGTGGACCTCGATTCTTCTTCGTCAACTTGTAACAATTCGCCGTTATTATTATTCTCCAATTACTCTTACTCGCTCGTGCCATTATCTGGACGCGAGACAAGGAAGGAGGGGGAGGGGAAAAAATCGACGGGGATTCGGGGCGAATTGCGGTTTCGCGATAATGCTCGCTCGATAATACGTGGACGATAATGGAGATGTCAATGCGTGCAATGACGATTCCCACGTCATCGGCGGGGGAGGGGGGGGAGAAGAGGCGCATATGGATCGATTCAACGTTAATTCCGCAGATTGCGCATTCACGATCCGAGAATTCATAACTATTTGCGGTTTCGTGTCGAGGTTAAGCTCCACGTTCTATTTCTTTCGATTTCTTTTTTTTCTTTTTCTTTTTCTTTTTCTTTTTCTTTTTTTCTCTCATCCACTTTTCAACGTACGAAGCGATATTTTAATTTACAAACACAAATACTTAGGCAGATGCGATGTTTGTAGTAAATTTCCAACAGGTAATCGAGTACGTTTCTTTTTTTTCCTCTTTTTTCTCTCTCTCTCTCTCTTTCTTGCATTCATCGAATAGTTTTCATTTCGATGGTGAAAACGATCGATTTCAATCGTACGTCGTTTAAATTCAGGTGCGTTTATTTTGCGATGTTTCTTTATAAATAGAAATTGAAATAGAAATAGGTATGTATAATCCTATTACATAATTAAATTCTATTTCTAATTTTATTTTTTCGTTCCTCGATTTATCGATCATTTCACCCAGACGATTTATATCCCCCGCCTCCGGCTAATCCTACCCACGAATCCATATTTAAAATTTCAAAAACGCGGCCAACGCGTAACGATTGCAAAAAATTTTATCCGACGCGGCAAAAAATAAATATAAAAATTCCCTCATTACATATCCTCTAATTAGTTAAAAATGAGCAAAACAGCTTGCTTATCCAGACTTATCTCGTCGCTACCTTCGTTTCCCGTCTCTCCACGCGAAACAAACTACTTGCTCGCGCGAATTACACGCCTCACCGATCGCCCGTGTAAAATAATCGTCCAAACGTTCGATATATTCGAACGTTAAAATTCAAAAATATATTTTCGCGCGCAAATCAAAGGGCGCCGCTGTTCGAATATTCAAAATTCGAAAGAAAAAAAAAAAAAGAAAAGAGAAAAAACTTTCTCCACCCTTTACACTTTTATTACTAATAATTTTAATCCCGAGCCACATCGTCAACGCGCGCGTGGGATAGGAAACGTACGGATTTAGGAAAATCATTATTAACGGGATCGTTATTAATTCGCGATGGATATGAAGGAAGCGGGTTTGAAACGAAGGAATCGAGAGAGAAGGCGTGATACATATATATATATATATATATATATATATATATTGG